CCAAAACGTCATGAACCAAGCTTAGACATATGGTAAACAAACCGTTGCGACACATGAGTGATTTTGTTTTCGCATTATATACTTCTGGTCAAGTAAAAATGTCGAATTTCGTGCCAAACAATCGTCATCGTCAAGCCATTTCAAAGCGATTCTGAAGCAAGGAACTTGGGTTCCTTATGAGTTGAAGCCAAGAGACGTTTAGCGTCGTTATTTCACCTGTGAACAACTGCTCCAGCGGCAAAAACGGAAGGGTTTTCTTCATCGCATCGTGACGGGTGATGAAAAATGGATTCATTACAGCAACCCAAAGAGGAGAAAATCCTGGGGACTACCCGGGCATGCTTCTACGTCGTCGGCTCGGCCGAATATTCACGCTGCGAAGGTTATGCTGTGCATTTGGTGGGACCAGGTCGGTGTTATTTATTATGAGCTCTTGAAACCGAGCGAAACCATCACTGGGGAACGGTATCGAACTCAATTGATGCGCTTGAGCCGATCACTGCGCGAAAAACGGCCACAATACGAGCAAAGGCACGAAAAAGTGATTTTACTGCATGACAACGCTCGGCCTCACGTTGCCAAGCCTGTTAAAACCTACTTGGGCACGCTCAAATGGGAAGTCTTAGCCCACCCGCCATATTCCCCAGATATTGCGCCGTCCGATTTTTACTTGTTCCGTTCGATGGCCCATGGCCTGGCTGATCAACAGTTCCACTCATATGAAGACATCAAAAAATGGCTTGATTCATGGATAGCCTCAAAAGACGAACACTTCTGGCGTCAAGGTATTCGAGCTCTACCAGAAAGATGGGAAAAAGTTGTGTCTAGCGATGGGCAATACTTTGAATGATTCATTTGTAACCATTTTTTAATAATAAAGTTATATTTTTATCGAAAAAAAAGCGAGAACTTAGTTGCGCATCTAATAAATATAATAGGCGATTTCTTGATTTACATTGCAGTTTAATACATATCAATTTTGCTGATAACTTCAAAATGATTAATAATTTTGTGTAATTTTCAATGTATTCCCCATAAAAACCTCGAGTGTACATATAAAGTTAAAAAAAAATCTCCCAACAGGTATGTAACCGTTCTATAGTTATCTTAAATCAGCGCCGGGGGCGGTACAATCACTTTAAGAAATATTGGATTGAATAATATCTTTATCTATAAATGTCAAACGAAAGTCGCTTTTCGTGAACTTTGTTTGAATCAAGCGTTCTGCTAAACCATGAAAGGGATCAAAATACGGTTTTCATCATTATGTAGGTTATGTATTCCACATGGTTTGTGTATATACTTCATAGTAATTCAAGTTTAGTATACATGAATAAACAGCGTGTTTCTGAACCCAATTAGCCTTTGTGACTTACGCTGGCTAAACCATTAGACCTATGTAATAATGATGTATCAGAGAATTCTAGATCTTAAAAAAGTTCTACAAAAAAAGTATAAATGGCATATCGCTATCTTATACAGTTACGTCACAATAAGCAAGTTTTGCTTAAGAGAAAGTAATTGAAATCGAATGTCATTAGCGGCGCAATTTTTTCTATTTTAATTTCCATATCAACATAAATGTGTTAGTTATTAGAGAAATTTTATGTAGATTAAAATGCCTTTACAGAAGGTATATAATTCTGACCAATAGTGTAGAAGACATCACTCACGATCACAAACAATAGGCGCTACCGAAAAATATGTTCGCGGACCGGTCGCGCCCGTGTTTACAAGGTTTTTACAGGATTGTACGTCACCGGGAAGAAGTACTACTGATATGAGAGATCAGATGTTTAGACTTTGCCACCCAGGTGAAGTAGGGATGGGTCACTAGTTTAAAATAAAACATTAACTTGTAATGCTATTCAAATGTATTAAATGTTAATAACAACAATTTTCCAGGACTGATTGATATTTATCGTTATTTCAAATTCGGGCAGTTTAGATGTTAAGACTTAGATTGTCCAGAACAAGTAGGGCATAGCTGTAAGTTAAATATTGTACCATCAATCTCTTGTCCAACGTTCTCCGCTAAAGAATTATCACTTGCGTTCACGCTGTTTGTAACTTGGCTTTGAAAATCAGAAGTAACTTGTCTTGACACTCTCATACTTTTTACTTCAACATCTTGGAATGTGCAAATGATCAGAACCAGGTATACAGCGGCAACCTGAAAACACATTAAAAATATACAAACATTGAAATTCTTTTCGAACAAAACATAAATTTCTAGTTGTTTCCCGCGACTTCATCCGCATGAAACTATAAAAAAAACATAAATAGTAACCTATGTGTTCATAAAATTGCAATGAAATGGGAGCTTATTATCTAATACAATAGATAACACATCTAAAAATACGAGGGTAGATTGAAAAGTACTCGGCCTAACATCTTACATTGAACTTACTGTGCGATAAACCAAATCTGAGACAGTAATAGTTTCATAGTAAAATGCAACGTGAAAATTTATTCATGAAATGTTTCGTAAACTTACTTTTACTCCCATGTTATACATATATATGTCTGGGTGATTTCTTAAAACAGAAGTTGCTTTTTGTCGTTTGCTGACATTATTTATACCAATCGTTGGCGCGTTAATTAACAACATGGAATACTAAATTGCATATTAATTATTGATTATAATGAATTATCTACAATACATTAATTAGTACGATGTTATAAATATTTTTATGTTTTAAAATAATTAATTACCAAAAGTTGACATTATTTGTTGTTAACAGATTTGGTCTATTCTCTCTCTTCATTATTTTCAACGCTTAGTCGGCACAATTTTTAATAATGTCTCTCTACCAGCTATCATATAGCAATTCACACATAGCTCATCCTAGTACTTGCGAACAAGGTCTTTTATTTGTGATAATATGCCTAATTAGTGCAGATAATATTGAGCTAATTAACTTGCATAATAATATCAAGATTATATAATAATTTATACAATTAAATCAATAGGTATTTTTGTTTCATATCATTCAGCCTCATTATCGCGACATCGTGCTATATAAATAAGTATTGACAACAGGGCACATCAACAGGCAATTTTACTTTGGAAATTACCTAAGCAAAACATTCAGAATGGAATCAAAGGTATGTTAATGTATTTTATTAAATTGCTGTTTAATGTATTTGTTTGAGGAAGTAAGTAAGACGATGTTATAATCTGTTTTAGAAGAAATTCAAGGTTAGATTCGTAATTGCATTAGTCTGAGAGCTGACAAAAGTAAACTAAAATAATTTTTCCAAACTTCATTCAGTGAGACTATTATTCCCATATTTAGTAGCAACTCTAAAATCAATAAGGACTGATAAAAGCTTTTGAATATGTCTTTAGAAGTACAAATTGCATTACCATTATGAGTATTATAAAGTATTTTACTAATAAAAACATTGAATGGAATCACTAAATATACTTTTTTTTTGCAGAAAATGGTCACGTTTTTAATAGTTGTCGTTTTGATGTTCCAATTCGCTGAAATGAGCATCATCCGTAATGTAAGACAGGTTAACAGTACATTTAACGCCAGTTCTACCAACACTGTGGAAGCCACCGACAATTCAGAGGCTTACAACTTGGGTCAGAATATTACTGGTACGATTGTTAGCCTTCAAGAATGTTCTACGTGTTCTAACCCACCAAAATCAAAACAGTAAAAGCCAGAAGACATCCTACATCAGCTTATGTTTATTCATACAGAACGAAAACTATATTATGTATGTATTTGTATAAACTTTGAATTTTTAGTATTGTGTTACACAATATGGAATAAATTTATTTTGGAATGGCAACTTCTCTATTCTTTTCGCATGCATCATTAATGATAATACTAACATATTAGAAGTTGCTAGTTTTGATGGTTAATGCAACAGAGGCTAAAGTCGGACGACGTAATAGTGATATGTGATCTATGATATGAATAATTATTGTGAAGAACTAGCGATCTTGTCTAACGATAGCCAAAACTATACTGATTTAAATGAAATTTGGTACTCAGATCGGGGACAGAGTGTTGTGCTTGAGAAAGGACAAAGGCTACTTTAATGCGAAAAAAGGGGTTTAAAGGTTAGAAAGAGGGGATGAAAAGTTGTATAGTATATCTTCATTTTTACTGCTAGAAACTTAAAATTGATTTAATTAGGCTATTTTTTTTAAATCAGAAGGCGGCAAACGAGCGAGCGGCCACCTGAAATCGCTGAAATAGCGAAGTGACCGTTGCCCATAGACATACGCAATTGCATATGCGTTGCCTACCTTTAATCGACAGAGGAGAGGATGCACAGAAAGAAAATATTAATTTGATATAATCAATAAATATGATATTTAAAGTTAGTAGAAGTTTTACCCTGAATGGTGTAAAATAACAATGAAAGTTTTTATGTAAGGTTACTGAGAATGTTTTGTAAGTTTAATATGTTTTGTTGTAACTTTTTATAAGTTAATATTAAATGATTAGCCTAAAGAATAAAATCCTAATAAATTATCCGAAGCCAGTATAAGACGCGGACGAAGTCGCGGGCACAGCTAATAGTTAATAAACTTTTAAGGTCTTTAGCGCCTAAACGCTACTTTGAATAGAGGTAAGTTCGGTTAAATCGTTATATTTTCGATCAAAGATTCCGCGATAGTTCCAGAGAGCCTGTAGAAATAAAAAAAAATATTGATTTATTGCAAACACTAACCAAATTTCGTTTAAAATACTTGGTGTAAATCGTGTTAATGTAGTTTTTTGACCACGTATTTAAATTATATTCACAGTTAGGGGGGTAAGGGGTGCGGAACTTACAGCTCATCCGACCCAATTGTCAACCTCACCTGCACGCGCCGGATGGCGACGGAGATCAAATGATTTCCGTGGTGCCCCCTGCTAATCTACAAACGAGGCTCTGACGACCGAACAATGGCGGTATATCCATACTTCCTATCAGTTTACTAGATAGAAGAGGCCACAGCAAGCCTTAGGACCCAAATAGTCTTTAAAAAGTCTGGATCGAATGGAGGATAAAAACATGGAAGCAAGATTGAAAAATTATCTACCCCAGGAGGGTACCAGCGGTGCTGGAGAATCCCTCCCTGAGAAAATCTCGGGCAGCCCCACGTATTCTGGGGGGGGGCACAGTTTTGCGGCCAAACACGAAACTCTCTGGAGTGGCTGACCAGGCTTCGGAGGCAGAGAATGCTACTGGATTTAAAAAACACATGGATTTAACTCCCTATCGACTGACGTAGATATGACTGGCCCCTCTGATATCACTAGGAAAAAAGAAAATAAACCTCCACCTCTTATACTATATGGCATAGAAGATATAAACAAATTAATTGAAGCCTTTGAGGCTGTAATGGGACGCACGGAGTACTCACTAAAAATTATAACAAAGAACCAGTTAAGGGTAAATTGCACAACAGTAGAATCTTACAAAAAGTTAATGACTTTTGTGCGCCAAAAAGGATTAATAGGACACACATTTACACGTAAAGAAGAAAGACCATATAGAATCGTAATTAAGAATTTACATCACACAACACCCCATGAAGCAATCAGATCAGAAATTGAAAAATCAGGCAACAAAGTGCGAGGCGAAATTATTAATGCCAGAATTGGACCAAATAAAAGACCTTCGACAACTTTCTTTGTAAACATTGAGCCTGGCGCCAACAATAAAGCCGTTAAAGATATAAGAGTCATATACAATACAATTGTAATAATTGAAGATCCCAGGAAACGTAAGGTTGTAGCTCAATGTACAAAATGTCAACAATATGGTCACACGAAAAATAACTGCTTAAGGCCATATAGATGCGTCAAGTGTGCAGAGGCACATAATACAGCAGACTGCCCTAAAAAAGACAGAAACACCCCAGCAAAATGTGCCTTGTGTCTAGGCAGCCATCCAGCTAATTATAAAGGTTGCGAGGTTTATAAAGAAATCCTATCGCGGAAGTATAATGTTAGAAAACCTGAATCTATTGCGGAATTACGAGCCGAAACAATTTCGAAACTAAAGAGCAAAGATATCAGACCAATAAGTGTAGATGAAAATGAGTCGAATAGAAAATTTTCTGTCAATACAAGAACATACAGTGAGGTTCTTAAAAACGAACAACAATATAATATTAATTCAACCAAAGTAGTGGAGGAACTACTTATCAAGCAATCTGAAAAGATAGATTTACTCCTTCAACAAATAAGTAACCTAATGGGACTTATGACCAAGCTAATTGACAAATTACTAAAATGAATTACTTAAAAATATGTATATGGAACATAAATGGCCTATCGCCTAATATAGATGATGTAAAAATACTACTTGATATTCATAAAATCGATGCGATGCTCATTTCGGAGACACATTTTACTGACAAAAGTTACATAAAAATACCTAAATATAACATATATTCCACCAACCATCCAGATGGCACTGCCCACGGTGGTACTGCAATTTTAATAAAAAACTCCATTAAACACTATCAATTACCTAGTTTCAGAAAAGAACACATACAAGCAACAACG